ATGATGTGGACACTATCTAGCAGCAGGAGCCCATCAACCTGTGACAACTTGCTATTCCATGGGCATTAAACTCCTAAATGCTGTCACAGTCCCGCAATAGATTCTAACAGACAGCAGGGAACAAGGAACAGGAAGGAGTTTCATAAACCTTTTCTTTTCCCTTAAGTAGATGAATTTTACTAGTGGTTATTTTTGCCTCTGTTATTTTGTTAGACCCTGAAAAAAGTTTGGAGAAAGGTCAGTTTCAGTTGTCTCCCAATCTACTTGGCAAATATTGATTCCCGTCTGGGTGTTCCTGCTGGAGTGTGATCATTGCCATGCTTTCTGTTTGCTGCTTTATTTGTTCACGAACATGATCAACAAAGGCCAGTGCTGTTCTGAGATCAGGGCATTTATTAACATAATTGCTGCAAGAACATACAGCTTTGGTCCTGGCTAGGTTTGATATAAACAGTGGCTAATTCTTTCTCTTCTAAAATCTCGGAGTTGGCATATATTTTAAAATACATATTTTTCTTTTCTTTCTGTCCACAGATGATCTTTCTAAATTAAAGAGTGCTGGTAAAAAAAAAAAAGAGTGGAAACCACTTTAAAAAAAAATCTTGAAGTGTTTGTGTACTTTGAACAAAATAATCTGAATTCCATCTGTAGTGATCACCCCCCACAATTACACAGGATGAAGAAGCTTAAGTAGAATAGCCAAGTGACAATATTAAGAGGAGACTGAGCCTTGCTGGAAATCGGGAGCTGTGGGGGGGCCGAGGCCTGGGGGCCCCGTCCCGGCTCTGCCCACCCGCTCACAGCAGAGCTGCTGCCGCTCCAGGGCCACTGGCAGGGGAAAGGTTGGGTGCTGCCAGGAGAGCAAAGTCTCTGAGCATTGTCTGAGGTGCAAGGCATGCTGAAGAGAGGGGAGGAAAGAGAAGAAAGGGGAGGTTTTAGCATTTGGCAGAAGTGGCTGATGGTGAAAAGACAAGTTTGCTCTGCTCTGGGAAGGGAGGCAGTGAGGGATGTGGGTCTCAGCTCTTTGAGTCCCCACAGAGAACTGCAGCTAGGTCTCGAGGACATAAGCTTCACGACTTGAAGACACGAGCCTCAGTAAAGTGCCAGACACATGCAGCAAAATCTACAATGCCTTTCTCCTGGTCTAAAAAGCACTGACGCTGGAGGATGCAGCATGGCACCCGAGAGCACTCCCTGCCTGGGACACAGTCATTTCTTCTCGTGATACTTTCTTTCACATGTGTCACTTTACATGTTTCATTTCTAATTACAGAGATTATAGTCAGCAGTGCAGTGTTCCCTGAGAATGAGTTAATCTGGAAATAATAACTTCTCACAACTGTGCTTAACAGATTCTTAGCTTTCCTAACTAAGAGTGCAGAAACATGTGGTTAGAAAGCTGAATTTTCTTTTAAATCATTGTTTCTTTCTTCCTCACACTCTACTTTTTTATTTATGTGGTACAGCTGTGGATGAGCACTGATATGGAGCATTATATTCTGTCTCAGGTGTGAAAAAACAGCTGCATGAGTTATGAACATGACATCTTCACTTGAGTATATTGATACATCCCATATGTTATTGACTTATGAAATGAATACTGATTGTGAAGAAGCAGGGTAATGAAGAAAATAATTCAGGAAGATACTAGCTGTAAAGTTTGCAAGTAAATTTGTACAATTTTTTGCAAAAATCAGGGAACACAATCCTACCTGTGATTTTGATATTTTAAGTGTACAAGTCAGCTGCAAAGTTCAGATCTCCAATTCCTGCCTTTCACACAGGCTTATATTCAGGGATTTTCTACTGATCTACCTCAGGATGTTCATTAAAATACATCATAGCAGAGAGTGGAGAAGGCAAGAGATCACATTCCTGTAGCTTGTCATGATTTTTCATATCCTCAGTGAACTTCAAAACATCTCTTTGGACAGGAGCATGGTAAGACAGGCTGGGACTCTGTGAAGAAGTTAAGCATGGTATCTGACACATCACCTACCACGGAGATAAGTAGCACAGGGCCCCTTTGGGAGTTGCACCTGCCAGAAGCTGCCCGAGTCTCTAATCATTTCCTTGATGCGTGAAAAGAAGTGTAAAAAATAAAACTTCTGATTTTGTGGCATCTCTGACTGGAAGAAACTGCTAGAGATACATTCTCCAAGGCACTGAGTCATCATTTTGTACCCTGAGGCACTAAAACCCCAAAGACCCTGAAATTGTTCAGATACAATATGAATAAAAAAGCACCTGCTTTTGCCACCAGAACAATCCTGTGTTTGTGTATATTAAAAGTGAAACATGAACCTTAGATGCTGATAATTCAAGGAGCTTTGCTTGTGTATTGCCCATTATTCAAGAAGTCTTTCTCTTGGAGGTCTGACCAGAGGGTTGAACTTGCTCCAAGGAAAATCTGCTGTGACTGGAGTAATTCTCTCACTACTTCTGGAAGAAGATATCATTGTTCATTATTGCTATTTGGACGTATTAGCACAGTGATAATATCAGACAAAATTTAGACATTGTGAATTTTGATTGTGCAGCACAGTGGACTTCTAACCCTATCTGAACCTGGTTAATGCCAGCAATAATATTGCCATAGTTTAGTAAGGAGGCATCCAAACAGAACTGTTACTGGTAACAAGAGTGCAGAATGCTGAGAACTATGGCCTGCCCACAACAGCTACCTTTATCAGCAAGAAAAGGGCTTTTAGGAACTTGTCAGGGCTGTAATGTGTTAACTGCACCAGCCACAGACCCTGGATGATGTGTTAATTTCTAAGAGAGCACAGAGAGATGGGACATAGACACTGGTTCTCACAGCAAAGGCAGCCAGTGTAAGAGAAGTGCTAGAAATTTAGAGGGAGAGACTGTGTGAGGGTGTTAATTCCTTTGATTCTGACGATCAGTTCCCAAAACAATGTATTTAAATTTCTAAAAATGCAGAAGTGACTTGGGTGCTTTTGGGGGAGGGGAGGAAGCAAAGGCGAATTATATTCCTTCTGCCTTCATGGCTGTAAAACTCCCTCAGAAAGCTTTGAAAGTCTTTTTGAGTGTTAAAAGCTTGGGTGGTCAAGGTCAGGTGAGTTCCTTCCTCCCTCTTTCCCCAGACAATGAATACTTTTAAGAGGCCTACCCTTCTAGTTAGGTTTCGTTATCTGCACTTTTTATATCCCTCTCCCTACAGGAAACAAAGAAGCACATACAGCCAGCTACAGGCTCTACTGGAGAACTGTATAATTCCTAACGCAGATTTAAAAGGGAAAAATCCTTCTTTTCTTTTCTTGCATATTCCCAGAAGACATGATCAATATCTAGTCAACCCATGTAGACGTAGATCCATTCACTCCTATATGTTGCGATGCTATCTTCTGAGCCATACCTGAGAATATTATGTTGCACAGAAAACAAGTGCCAACAAATAGATTCCTAAAGAATGAAATGCTCTGATCTTAAAATACTGAAAATCCTTCCTAGGCTATATTCAGATCCTGCTCCATTCACATGCAGAAAATACTGCATGTGACAATTCTACTTTTTACTCATATGTGTCTAGTTTTGAATACCTGCTTTGATTTGGGAAAGAATAGCACACACTGTTGCAGATAATAGGACACATTAGGCATTTTGGCAGAGAGCAGCTTGAAAACACTGGCTTGTTCCAACAGTGATTTTAAAGGTACAGGATGATGTTCTGAAAGGAAGTTATACCTTCTTTTCCCGTTTGTTATGTTAAAAATCTCTCATATTCCTCTCTAAAAATACTGCAGATACCTGTGTTTCTCGAATATTAAACTACAGTCTGCAGTATATGCATCATATTAATTAATTTGATTTTTAAAATTCTCATCTCTCTATTATTGTCTTATATTGACAAAGTTTCTGTACCTCTGAAAATTGATGTCGGATTATTAGGACACTTCCAAGTCAGGTCCTGAGATGCATGTTTGTATTATGAAATAGGACCAAGGTTTAATCACAATTACCTACCATGCTGAATATGACTTGCTCTGATCTACACTGACAGGTCAGTTATGATCATCATTATGTCAAGTCCAAATACAACAAAATTTCCTAATGAAGGCAAGTGCACAGATAGGGAGCTTTAAGAAACAGGGTGCACCATTTGTTTTACCTGTAAGAAGAGGTATATTGTGGAACTGTGTGTCCTGGGCATGTAGAAGGAGATAGTAAAAGCTGTGAATTTTCAGATCATTTTGTACTTTATAGCTAAATCCCCATTTAAGACAGAGGCTTTATTATCAGCAGACTTTTTAAGAGCTGCTGTTCTTTCAGTGGGGTCTAAGAAGCAGGTGATATTGTGACCACAGTAGGTATCTTCAAAAGGACGAACTTCCAGAAACTGCATGGGTTTCTGGACCTCTCAGAAAAGACATCATAGCTTTTACAAGAGCTGGAACAGTGCCAGAACTACCTGTCTGCAGGATTATTTCTCAGCTCTACAGAGACTCCTACCTTATAAATCTAAATAGAATTAGGGACTAGATCCTACATTCTTTTGGTTTCAGCAAGACTTTGGATCTAAATAATCCTATATATCAGGATTTTAGTGTTGAATAATATAAGTTACTGAAGAATCTTGTCATTTATGACATCGTGCCAGTAATTGATCAAATCAAAACCTTCATCTTCTTACATATATCTACAGAGGAGCCTTTTGTCCTCATTTTTCCCATTCCAGGAAAGAATTCAGAATATTTACAATATAGATAATGTTGTTTTTCCCATTTCTTTCCTTAATTTTTTAAATGTCAAGATAGTTTTAACTATGCCTTGATTTTTTTCTTTCTTTTAACCTACAAAGGCTTCTCTCTCTTACTAAGAGCTCAGTTTCTGTATAGGTTGTGATAGTCAAGACAAACATCTGTTTATTAAAGAACATTATAGACTAGGTTTATCATTCTGGAAGACTAAATCTGGATTTCTGAATGCATGTTGCTGGCATGAACATATACCTCCCGATCGCAGAACAACTCACTCACAGTTTGAACCGGTCTGTGTAATGAAGTTATAAGAACAGGGTCATCACTTCCATAGCTGGAGTCCCCCATTGTGTGGATGCCTGGCAGAAGATAAATTTGAATAGATTACTTTCAGCACCTCCTGAAAACTAAGTGCTTTCAGTGGAGAACAAAAAAACAGCAGCACCCAAATTGACATTTTGGGATGGGAGCAGGATGCTGAGTGAGACAAAAGTATGGCATATATAAATGAGTGGGCTAGAAAATCTTCCTACATATTGCCTATGTTTGCTCTTATCTGAATTTAGATCTTTCTTATAACTCGGCTGCACAAACACATCCGGCTAGGCACAATTCTTGCTGTTCTGCTAGGTCTCATTACCTCCGTTTATTAAAAACTGTGTATATCTTCACTCTAAATTTACTCTGGCTTTAAGCAGGACTGCTCATGGTGACTACTATGTGTCCTAAACAGTATTGTAGTGGGATTTAGTTCCATGCTTAAAGTCAAGCACATATTTCAGTGTTGGAGTGACTTAGACAAAAAACACTGTCTTCCTAAATCAAGGTCCAGACTACAATATGATCTATTGGTATGATAACTGTTCTATCTTGCCCAAAGCTTAACCAGTCTTCTGGGTTTGCTTGGTTTGACTCTGTGGCTGGTGGTACATGAAAAAGAAGTTATATGGCCAGCATCCTCCTCATTCTCAGCATGGTGACCATGGCTGAGCGCAGCACCTGTCACACATGCAGAGCAGGGCCCAAGCTCCCACCTCTGAACTGACTGAGAGCCACCTCCCCCCCTCATTTGCTCCACCTCACCCTGCAATCGATGCTCTAGTGGTGCTGTCGGCCCAGTGTGGTCACAGCATCCACCAGCTGGGTCCCCACCACAAACTCTCCCAGCAATTCACATCTTTGGTTTCACTGGGAAACTGCCAACATCCTACTATAATGTCAGTTCATTTCTAATTATTATAGGGTATTTGCAAGGTAAAAGATGCAGATATTCCTGTTCTGGGTGCACAAAAACTGTAAAAAGCTTAAACTGTATAAGGGGAAGGGAAATCCAGATATTATCCTAATGGTAACAATGCCAGCAAGTCTATTTGGGTGGGAGAAAACAATTATGGGTTTTGCTTGAGATTTTCCCTTTCCTGCTTGTAATTATTGATTTTTTTAACTCGTTTGAACTAATTGGATGTTGAAGGCAAAACCTGAGTAATGTCTTTTTCTGTCATACCCAGCAAGACAGTTGGAAAAGACATCACATTTGGGGGATAAAGAATAACCACAGCAGCTCTTAAAGGCTGGTGCCAGGCTAGTAAATGAGCCACATGTTAAAAGCTCTGCTGCACTGCCAAAGATAAAACTCATCCACCTTCTGGTATGTCTCTTACACACGAATCAGAGTGCAAATTCACCATTCATGTATTGACAGTTGAAAATCAGGCTGGCATTTGCGAGGATGAAACAAGTATGGGAATTCTCAGCATGAACTCTCAGAACATGCTAAAACCAAATGCCCAGTTGCAGTAAAATTGTAGATGTCCTAGGTGGCACTGACCCTAGCATTGATAAAACCATGTTTAAACATGGCAGGGAGTACTTTTACCACTCCTTTTCCACCCCACATTTCTGTCCCTAGCTTCAAGTGGGAAATGTCACCAGGAACTCCAAGTATAAAAAAATGCCCTGCCTGTTTCTACTGCTGGCAGTTTCTTTAGTCTGCACAGACAGGGTACTTCTCTCTGAAAAATCATGCCATAAATTGAACAGTCAGCTGTTGTGTTTCTGTCCTTGCTGCCCATTTCCCCACTCCCTCTCTGCCAGAAAAGATTCCCCTTTTCTGAAGCAGCATGAAGAAACTCCTCTATTTCTACTAGAAATAAGAAACAGTGAATTCTTTAACTCTTATGGCTATTTAACAATCTCCTTCAGCCAAAGTTTACTAAATAGCGATGCTGTCTTTCCCACATCCAACCATTCAAAACCTTGGAAAAGGGCTGTTTCAGGAAATCTGTCCTGTTGCAGAGGAAGCCACGTATTCAGCATCCCTCAGAGGAATTACAAACCCAAAAGATGCCCACTTCATCCAAGAACGTGGCTGTTAGTTGAGTGTTTGCTCATAAACAGCATGTGCATGTGCAGACCTGTGTTCTAAGACTTTTTGAGGGCTTAGGTTTTTCCACTGTAGCTGAAAACTTCCTCCATGAGGTTCGTGTGCTATTTGTTTCCCTTTCTGTGTGCTAGGTAGTCTCTAATAACACACTGGTCTGGTAACAAGGGGAAAAGAGTAGACCTCTGCATGACTGTTCATAAGTGACTAAGGTTTCCAGTGGGGGAAGGAATGGATCTGTGGCTCCTGGGAGACACCACGGACCAGAAACACAGCCAGAGCCTACGTGGGTAGAGGCAGGAGTTACCTTCTCTGTGCTCAAACATAACTGCTTTTTGAGCACACTCCAATGAAGCTCAGAGGTGCCAGGGCACATGCCTGGCCCTTCCGAACATAAGCTTAGGGCTGATGAAATTTTCTGTTTCACTGCAATCTGGTCCTGGAGGCTTTGCTTTCTACGTCATTCTCTCATTTGAATCTCTATATTTAGTACAACTGAGAATTTCTGGATTATCGTTCTCCTAACCATATGTATTATGTAATTGTGCCTGTACTTCTAAAACCTTTCTATGGCTTGTTACTTTTTTTTTTTTTTTTAATCTCTCTCTCTTTGCTAGATTTCCAGGTTGACAAATTAATTGTCTTTTTCAGAGTTATGTTTAATGATATGTGCAACACTTGATTGAAAAACTGTCTTCTATAGTTCTGAAGTGAGATTCAATGCCAGAAATAAGTGAATGCTACAATTTCCTTGTCCTTCAAAATGCAATTGGAAAATTGTATGAAACTCCTTCTCGGCTCACACTTGGAAGCTCCCAAAGAGGTGGTTTCATTTTCACGTCAATGAACTTTAGGAATAATACTCTGACCAAACATGAAATAACAGAGACACTCTGGGTTAAAGTTATTCAGTCAGTTCCCAAAATATTTTTTCCTTTCCATTCCACATGACAGAAACTTCTACTGCAACCACAGTTTTAGATAGTTCACTTGTAGTCATGATAAGAGAGGGGAAAAAAAAAAAAAAAAAAGCAAGACAGAAGAAAAAGCTCTCTGAATAATCTACACTGGACTTTAAACAAATGAGACCCTATTTTATCATCTAGTTTTATTCTGTTTTGATGATAGATGATTTCAAAGAAGGGATAGTAGTTCCAGATAGAAAATACAGGCAAAATAAATGAATCTAATAAAGGTACTGAGTCTTTGCAAAATTTTTTAAGATGTTAATAATCCAAGATTCACAACTCATAAATTTTTAAGTTATTTCTCTTCGTGATATTTGTGTTTTCTGCTGGACTGATGTTTTGGTAAGATGGATTTGTGAAATTGGTTACATTTCTTCATCCAAAAAAGCAAATGTTCTCTTCAGTTCTTTCTAAAACTGCTATGAATATGCTAATCTGTAAAGGTCTGTTAGTCTTGAAAATTCCTATGTTAAATTCTAAAGACTAAAATTTTTAAGAATATTTCGTCAAAGTTTCATGTCTGTACTGAAACCAAGTCAGATGTGCTTCATATGCTTATAGATTTCATAGGAAATGGCTTGCACGGCTCTATTCTCAAACTTGCAGGGTTTGGAACATATGTTTTTCAACTTCAGATGGGTTTTCTTTAATCTGGTGCTAAGGTGAAGTATCATGCAATAGCATTAATGTTATGATTTACTGGAGCCCATTAAATCCAAATCATGATCTTACATATTTCCATTGCAGATTGGGTGTCTAGTTGCCTTTATAGCTCAATTTTCAAGCATCTTGAAGTACTGACAAAGCTAACCTGCTTTAAGTACAGAAAATTTACAAACTTTACATATCATTTTTTATTTATTTGCATGATTACTTTGCCTGAATTGAGGAATGAACTTTAAAAATTAGGATGGAAAAGAGTGGCCCTTAAGGCAATAATAAAGTCTTTAGGTCTGTTCTTTACGTGGCATGAAGAAACTTTCACTGACTACCTAGTAGTCTATAATTCTTATCCTACTCCTTCAGGTTTGTCCATGACAAAATTCCAACAAAGTAAATTTAATAATCTGTGTGAAATTACAAAACTAGTGAGAATGTTTTATCCAGTTTCATTCATCATGATTAAATTTAAGTTCAAATAAGATACAAGATGTGAAATGGATATGTGAAATTAGATATTTTTTTAACATATACTTTTGGTGCATTTATTTATAATAAAAGCATTTATGTGCATTGCAAAACCCTTAACACAAAGTCTGCAAAGATGACCATTTAAATCAGATCAGCATCTTTCCTCTTCATCTCATCTCAAAATATGTGGTCAAAGGAGGTTAAGTATCCCCAGAAATTATCATTACACATTCATGAATGAAAGAAAAATACAGCTAACGGACTAGTGTTGGAATTAACATCTGTGGTTTAGAACAAGTTGGAGAGATTCATCACTGGAGCCAATTTTTTTGTTGAACATTTCCGTATGCTAATAATAGGAATAATAGGAAGACTTATATTGTTATGTGTAAAAAGTAAAATAAAAAATAAATGGAAAATAACACTGAATTTATGGGTTTTTCTTCCCAATGAATGATAATACTTCTTTGTATGGTTCTAAGGTAAAAATGTTTTTTATCAAATGATTGTTTTCTCTTGTGACTCACAAAGAGAAAGTATGGGGGCTGTTATGAAAAAGCTGCAAGTCTATTAAATTTACATTCATACCAACGTTAGCATTAAAGACTTTGGGACTTATTTCTCACTTGCTACAATGCAAATGTATACCACATTTTACAAACACTGCAAGGCTGTTTTCTACTGCCAGAACTGTGAAAAGTGCCCAGAGGATAAACAAGTATCAACCATCAGTCTGTAGCCAAAGCCTCCAGCCTCCAGTTTGGACTGTGGCTGTTGAGAAAATGTCTGTAACAAGTCCTTAAGATCACAGTCCTTTCAATGTATTATTCAAAATTTGTATTACTATCAAATTGACATGGAAATAATGACTGTTTGAGCA